CACCGCCTTTTTCCACCTTTGGCGGATTGCCCGGCTGCGACCTTACCTAGACACGGGGGCACTCACTACCTTAGTACATGCACTCATAATCTCTAGATTAGACTACTGTAACTTGCTCTACGTGGAGCTTCCTTTGAAGCTGATGTGGAAACTTCAGGTGGTGCAGAATGCGGCGGCCAGACTCCTTACTGGAGTGAGAAAATACCAACATATCTCTCCTACTCTGGCCATGCTGCACTGGCTGCCCATCCGTTTCCGCATTGACTTCAAAGTGTTAATGCTTACATATAAAGCCCTAAATGGTTTAGGACCTCGATACTAGGCGGAACGCTTACTCCCAACTAGTTCTACCCGTGTCACCCGCATGAGCCAGGAGGTGAGGCTGAGGATCCTGACGCCAAGGGAGGCCCGAAAGGAAAAAACTAGAAACGGGGCCTTCTCGGCGGTGGCTCCTTGCCTCTGAAATAACCTGCCTCCGGAGATTCGTGCTGCACCCTTGTTGGGTACTTTTAAGAACCAACTTTTGTGAGATTTTAGTCTGGATCTTCTCAGTCCTTGTCCACATGCTAAGAAGTACAGTGGTGCCTCGCTTAGCGATGTTAATTGGTTCCAAAAAAACATCGCTATGGGAAAACATCGCTAAGCAAAACACCATTTCCCATAGGAATGCATTGAAAACCGGCTAATCCGTTCTAATAGGAACGAATTGACGTCCTTAAGCGAAAATCGCCATAGGAAACATCACTAAGCGAAACAATGTATCCCCCATTGGAATGCATTGAAACCTTTTCAGTGCATTTCAATGGGGGGGGAATTCAACAACAAACTAAAAAAGAGTCAGGATAAAGTCAAATTTGGTTAACAAAGGGTTTATTAAGTGCACTTTAACATCAACACTATGCATCCGGCTTGGTTAGGTGGTTCAGCTTTCTATAGTCCATATAGAATCGAATACTGCCATCTGGCTTGTCAACCAAGACTATAGGAGGAGACCAAGGGCTGGATGAAGGAACAATGATGTTCTCTTTCACCATATCATCTAGTTCCTTGCGCACCTTATCAACATATGGCCCAGTAACTATATGGAGTAACTGCTTGTGGGGGTCCATCTCCTGTATCAATCTTGTGCACCTCTCCCTTGGCTAACCCAGGTTTGCTAGAAAAAACCTGTTGGTACTTTGTAACCAAGGCCCTCGATTCACTCTGTTGCTCA